ACGTTATCAACAGTTGTATTAAAATAACTCAGCAGCCACTTCAAAAGGAAATCACAACTTGAGGATGGATATAATCTTCAAAATGTTTACCACTCCAATAAATAAGCCTTGTTGAGGGTCTTATACAGTCTTGTTCTCCTTGTAATGGATGTTGTACGTGATAAAAAAATTAGAAGGAAATGATCCATTTACATCCACTTCATAATTTACTACTCGTAGATTTTTTATGCTGTTCAATATGATTATATAATTGAAAAAAAACCAAAGAGAGCTTCAGAAGTAAATATATTTTGCAATATTTTGCTCATATTTGCAGACATTTTTGAATTTTAATGTATTTTTCAAGATAGGTGAATTACATTGGTTGAGAAAACATCAGAATTTCCGGGACGTTAAAGCTTTGATCCTTTGTTATCACCTTAAACATACAAACATCACCTGAATATGGTAAAATTCAGTTCAGATGCGACTATTTCAACACGCGGGATCTATTTTTGCCTTATCATTCAAATGAAGGCTCTTTAAAAGGACGGAGAGGAATCAAAACCGAAGGCAACTAAATTGCTCTGGATTTAAGCTAAATATTTTCTTTTTTTTTCCGGGAGGGGGGAGGGTGTGTCACACCCCACACCCACGAGTCAAGCTGAGGACGAAATCCTTTTTGCGACCTTACATTGGCTCGCAAAATTGATGGACCTCAGCGGGAACTGTGGTGAAGAATCGATTCCTAATAGTTCGTTGCGAACACCCTGTTTATCGATCCTTATCCATAGGTTTAAAAGGCAGATTAATCGATATATCGCAAAGTACGCCACGCCACCGATGGACCTGTCGTGAGGTAAATGTCATACAGGAGCTGGATTTGCTCTGTGATTGAGTGTGCACCCGCATTTGCATCAAAACCCTCATTCTCGGATGCAAAAGTAATTAAACTTTGTGATTAATTACCTGCGATGATTCTTTCATTCCGGTGTTGGTGTTTTTTCCGAGCTTTCAGGTCTTAAAAATCCTGAAAAGACTCCAACGCCAGAATGAACAAATCATCGCAGGTAATTATCATCAATCCGGAAAAATGAGCAAATCAATCTTAAACTTTCTGATTAAGCCGGAGACCTTCTCCAAGGATTTTTAATTATGCAATCACAAAACCTGAAGTTAATTTTGAGTAAATTTTCATTTTCAATGAATGTTTTGAACCTCGCCATTTACCGTTAAGATCCAGCAACGTTGGAATAATTGGGCAAATTTAACAAAAATTAGCTATATTACATTTTATGTTGCCTCATTTCTTCTTGTTTTTCATTTTTTTAAAATAAAAAACGAAATAAGTTGAGATTGAAACTTTTATTAGATTTACTGTTACCTATAAAGGATATATTTATTCTTTCAATCCGAATAGCGCCTAGTTTCCTGTTGAGTAAAATAAAACCGGAAGGAGAGGGAGGAAAACTTTGATAAATACGGACACAAAAGGCTCGATTAATTTTTGCGCAACCAAATTTTCAATCTCAGAAATCGAACTTCGACTCACAATCAGCTGACCAAAATTCGGTGTCGATGACCGGATACTTCCAGTTACCATCAATGACAAACTTTGTTCAATAAGAGCTAAAGTTCAGCATTTGTAACTTTTTTCTGTTTTTGTTTTTTGGAGAACACTTGAAAAAAAGTATGGTAATATCTACTATTAGTCTACTTGATTTTTACACAGTGATACTATTTGGTGAAAATAACAAGAATTATAGTAGTGTTCAGTATGGTAAATGCAACCATAGAACCTGGTGTTTATTAACATACTCGTATCACTGTGTCAGAGTATGGTAAAATCTACCAAATATTTTTTAAATGAAAATCAATTGATTTAATTCGAGTTTAAGTCACTCCTCGGGCAAGGTACTTTGAAGCCGAACTTTCTACGCAAAAAGAAAATCTAGAAAGATGTGACGGTATTATCAGAGCGACTTTTTTGCACGGTATTGCGTCCTTCTTCATTTTTTTCTCTATGTTTACCTTTGATCAGTCGGAAATGTAACCAAAACATCGTCGATCACACCCACGTTATCAGAGCAGATGACGTCCCACGGCCTCTCAAAGTACACCTGTCGCGGTTCTCGCAGCTTAATTTGATACTCGAATAACAAGCGAAACAAAATCGCGTATTACGTCACGATTACTCCAAATAATTACATGCAAACTATCAAATTAGCTTATCGGACGCAACTACGTGATAAACGAGGTTGATTTTTACCAGGAGGGGTTCGACTGATAAACAACCAGGGCCAATGAATCTACGTTTCTCCTTTTTCAATGAATGACGTAACGACACTTTTGCTACGCTCTTTGACCGAAAATGGCAATTAATGAATTATTTTCGCAGATATTGATCATGTCTCGTTTTTTTCGTCGTGAGTTTCGATAAAAAGGTAAAAATCAAGTACTCGAACATTAGCCTTGACCTACTCCAACCAACAGTTCTCATTTCATGCGACTTTGAGAACGTGACCATGCAACACTCGTATCGGGGCTGCCTGCTCCACCAGGATGAATCACAATCGGAGGGATGCACAACTTTGAATTAATCGCAGCACTCCAAGTAGCGGTAATCGCGATAAGTTGCGATTTGATCGGAGAACGTATCGTGATTTTATTGACGTCGAGTTATTGCAAAAGTATCGAACACAAAATATCGTGAAAAATTAAGATGAAATTCCAATTTTATCGAACGCGATTTTATAGAGATAAAATTTCGACAAGAATGCTCAGATGTTGATAATTCTACCAATTTCATCGCCAAAAAATCGTAAAAAAAAATCGGAACTTAATTTCAAAATATCGCGATTTCTCCGTTCCGAGATCCAATAGGCTGCCTTAAAAAATTCTCAAAATGTCGTAATAATTACCATATGTATGCATCCTTCCTTCTATTTTCCTCTTCTCCTTCATTCTTTCTTTCTTTCTCACCTTTTCAGTTCTCCTTTTTTTTGGGCGAACGGGGGGAGGGGGGAGGGAGACTATACGCTCCTTACTACCCCCTTTTGGATCCACCTATACAGTACCCATCGAATTTTAACATTTTCTTTTACTTACATTATTTTAGTTGCCGTGGGATCTTTGCGTGAAAAAAAACTGTCCAATCAAACCTAAAATTGTTTAAACACAGTTCCCCCAATTATTAAGAGAAGATGAAACCTAAGCCAGGGTGGTACATCTAGATGTCGCACTGATTCTACTCGATGACTCGTGTGGAATATTTTCAAAAATAACGAAAACATCACTGTGCGTTTATAGTTTTCTTGGTTGTTAGTTTCAGAACTTGAATAGCACGTGCTAGAAAGTACAATGGTTAAATATGCTGCGAAGACCTTGAATATATAATGAAAAATTGTGAATGCAGCATTTCTGATACAAGCAGTTAATGCTTATCGCTCTGCATAGTGCTTATCGCTTTGCGGCCCTGTGACAATTGGCCGGTAAAATTCAGAGTCAAGATTTTTACCGGTATAATTTTGTACTCGCGTCTTGTTGAACATTCGATTGGAAAAAAAATTTACCTTAACCTCATCCATGCTATTGCAAAATCATAGGGCATTGACAGAGATAATTGTTAAATCACACTCAATCTCATGAATTATTGCATGAACAATGAACTTTGAATTTCCATGATGCACATTTTCTCTTCGTGTTTTTCAGCTTAAAATTCATTGATTGATTACGGTGATCGATATATTTTGATTTATTATTCATTACCATAAATATTTTTGCAATTTCATATGCTCTTCCAATGAAAAAAAAAGCTGAAGATATAGCCGGTTTCTTCTCATATCTTTTTTACGAGACCCTTTTATAAAATTTTATCACGTCGTTTTTTTCTTCGTTTTAAAATCAATTATGTCAGAATCATTGAGACTGAAAAGTTCACTAGATCATGAACGTTTAGTATGATGTCCCACTTTGCGAAAATGAATGTTAATTTCCTTTTTTAGAGATTCCTGTTTTTAAACCCATATTCATCACATTAAGAATGGAAATAATAATTAAAACCTAGTTTCATTTTGGCCTAGCTTCTCATAAAGGTGCTGTAGTACCTAGAGGCTGGTACTGCAGTACCAATAGGTTTATTCAAATTTTGGAAACAATAATTAAAGGAAAATTGTTGTTTTTTGTGTATGTATTTGCCTTCTTATCACAAGGAGAGGGGCACACTTTTGGTACAATTATTTTCCAAAGTGATTCCTACTTTTTGCCTCTTAATAATCGCTTAAATACATAAATTTTGAAACTTTAAAAGTTTTAAATTAGATTTTTGCTCTCTAACGAGGAATTTTTTCCACTTAACTTTATTCAAACGGCTGGGGCATTACATGCCCCAGACCTTTATGATAGGTACCTACCTATCATACGTTCTTAGTAATTAGTTATATCACTTATTCTTTCAACTTAATTCATGTCAATTGATACCTTTTGTAATCTTTTAGGTAGTAGTGACATTGTTTGTATTTTATACAATAAACTTTAATAAAATAAAAAAAAATTAGATTTTCATACGTCCAGTATGAATTCAACAGTTGAATATATTTAAAATTCAGACATATCTTAAAGTAAGGACTAGATATCCAACGAGTCTTTGGTCACGTCACGTGGTGCTTCACACGCCCTAATGAATGTTAATTTGAATCACGGACAACGAGAGTATTAGATGGAGTATTCTGATGAGAATAAAACGTTCCAAAGTTGGCTTAAGAGAAAATTATGATTAAAAATCAAACAGCCACATCGCAGCTATATAATGATCAAAAATCTCTCTTGTGTGCGAACTAAGTTTGGTTAGATTTGCTGAAAGGGGCTGGATGGTATTAACTAATTGTAAGCTCTAATATTTTGTATATTCTCTGTGTGATCTTCATTAAGACGCGATAATTTGCAGTATTTGTCACTCATTTTAATGTACGCATGTAGAAATTAATCGAAATGATTACTGACAGATTTTGATAATGTTTCAGCGGCTTGATAGGTCGAAGTTGGGCCATGCTTTATGCAGCCAAGGGATATGAGATTGTGATCTACGACATCAATTTGGACCTTGTTAATCAATCATTGGAAATTCTGAACCAGCAGTTGCACCAATTTGAAAAACAGGGTATTTTGCGAGGCTCTACAAATGCGGACCAGCAATTCTCCTTGATGAGAGGTATTCACATACATTGAATTTTTTTTTTTTTTTTTGGGGGGGGGAGGGTATGTGTGTTGCACTAAGAGGTTTTAAAGTTTCCAAGGAAACACCCAGATCCGTGGTAACGTTTTGCCTAACAACGAAACTGCACAAGAAAAATTTGGAAAAAAAAATTTGAAAAAAAAAAGCTTTGTGAAACTGGAGACATTCTTATTGAATGACACATACTTTCTGATTTTTTCCTCTCTTTTAAGCGCTCAGCCGATAAGTAGCGCATTTGCTATCAATCTGCCTCTAGAATTCTATACCAGTGGCAATGTGTTTGAAGGCGCACCAGCTCAACAACAAGGTGACGCAGATAGAGGGACTTCACGAATTTAGAATCGATTAATCTGTAATATCTTCATTTAATGCTTCTGATGTCAAAGCACGAAGGGCGATACTTTTTTTTCTATAATTTTTCTTTTTAAGGTAGTGTACTTTTCTGAAAATTTATGGTTGAAATTTTGGTGAGCGAGTTTTTTTCAATTCAGCGGTGCTCATCTTCTTCAGGGAATGAAAAACGCACCTACATCGAAAAAAACGGGCGTTTTGCTTCTACAAACGTATCACAGCTTTTCCAGCTTGTTTTTTTATGAAATCATTTATATTTTGTATCGTCGGAAAACGGAGGTTTTTTTTTAAGTGCTCTTAGGTAAACCTAAGTCTATACACGTCACCGACGGATCACAGTGCTTCCATAGAAATTTTAAAACCACTTTGCGCTACCCAAAACGAAAAGAAAAAAAGTAAAAAAAAACATTTCGAATCCGTCCTAATGAGACTGCTTACGCACATACATATAATTACAATCTAGTATGATACAGCAAGCAACGTAGTATGTATGTAGTATGTAATTTTTCACAGGAAACGCATTTATTCTTATGCTTGTTTCTAAACATGCAGTGTGATTAGTCCCCCTCCCCCTCTTCCACTTTTTAACCATGAAGAGTACACGAGTTTATGTTTACCATTTGTTCATTTCTTAAATGCATTTTTGTCGAAGATTCACTGAACCATGAAATTTACTACTACTCAGAAATTTTGATAAATACCGCAGTCTCCCGACTAAGAAATTAAAATATGCTGACGTTAAGTTTACAACTTGACATCACTCAAATGCAATCCAATTTTTGAAGGGATCTAAGATAGAATTGGAATTCTTGAGTATCTTCTAACTTCAAACGCCAATCGGGCGCTGAGGTAATTCATTTGCGTTCTACAGAACGAAAATAAACATGCATTTAGCCTTTATCAGGATAGAAACCTAAGTGGCGATCAATGAAACCACCTTTGACTTTCACCCAATTTAGATGCGCGACTCACGAGAAAACACATCCTAGTTTAATGATCACGTTTTCTCTCAAGCAAATAGGCTCTACAGGTTTGCCTATTCCTTTATGATCATTAAACTCTTCTGGAATGAGTCTAACAATTAATTATTTATCACTTCAATTCTTACATTTCCTCCAGGCATTTAAGGAACAATACCGATTGTAAAAATTGACGATAAAACCTCATATTAACAGTGAAACTGCAGGAATGTACATCTCCGTTTGTAACGTTGCATACTACTTGTCATACTATAATTTTTTCATACAGGGTTGTTCAAAAGTCAAGCGCCACTGGCCATAACTGTAAGTTCTAATTATGATATCGACTTGCGGTTTAAGAAGTTTTTTCTCATATTGAGGGTGAAACTTTTAAAGGTACTCTCCAGTTTTTGATCCCCTCGGGGGGGGGGAGGGGGAACTCGAAAATTTCAAATGGCCACCCCCGTCATGGCCAGTGGTGCGTGACGTTTGAATAACCCTGTATTAGTAAAATGCTGAACGTATGGGAATGTAACTCTTACATCTCCTCCTTGAAACACCGGCAGGCTCATTTGGTTTTACTTCTGTGATTCTTGCGTGATTTCGTTAATTTCCATTCACATTAGAGAGAAAGCTAATTAAGGTAAAAAAATATGGCCTATTAATTGAAAAGCATTCTCCCATTTTAATGAATTCAATATTTGTTTTTAAGTTTTTTCCTTGGTTACTTGGATTATTCATTCGGATCAAATCTTACTCTACAATATAAAATCATTGGAAAAACTCTTAACGTAGAACGTCAAAGGCGCAAAAGTCTTCGGCAATGGAGACTGGACCGCGAGGTGGTCAGGGGGGCCACGGAGCGTATCCCCATGTTTATGAAAGAAAACTTAAAATTTTATCCATTCGATCCTGAAAAATTATGCGCATGAGCCGAGTACACATTTATGACCTCTGAAGGCCTAAAAAAGGGAGGAGTGAAGTTATGAAATGAAAATCATAGCCATGGTATTTTCTTGAATCCACTTGAGCTCCTTAACCATTCAATCTGCGTACAGAGATTTTAGAGAGAATGTGTGCCGTCATGAATTTTCGTTTTATCCTAGTTGCCTGATCAAAGAAGCATATTCATTGAAAATGACAAAATCTAGCGTTTCGAGTCAAGTTGTCGCGTCATCTTACAACTTTTTTGAAATCCAGATTTTGTTCTCTTCTTGAGCTTATGAATAAAATCGTGAAATACCCACGAATTTTTTAGCGCACACTGAAAAAAAACTCCGGCCGTGGGAGCCGCAATTACGGGCTATCT